TGTATGCTCAAGAAAAAAGGACCCCCAGACTTTGTTCTGGGTCGGTTTCGTCCCGAAGGGAATTCGTGTCCGAGTCTTCTTTCCTCATTAGCTTCATGAACGACCCACAGAGAAATCGCACCTTTTCTCCCTCTCATCTCTCTCTGTGCCTCCCTCTGTTTTCCTCCTTCCCTCCCTCTCGCATGTGTGTCTCTGTGTGTTTGTTTTCCCTCTTGAAACATTTCCAAAAACAGGCGAGGGTTGGGGTTTATGTTTTTTGATCATGTTCTTTCTTCTTCTTTCGGTGCTTTTTACCATATATTTTAAATCAAGAGTCATTTCAGGGTCCCAGATAAATGAAGCTTTTTCCTCCCCATGTGGCTCCCTGTCGGCTGGCTGGCCCCGCCCCTCATCCTCCCCTCCCAATCACACTTCATGTGGCCTGAGAAGGCCGATGGTGGGGATGGAAATTCACTCCACATTCCAGAGCAGGAAGAAAGCCCCCCTGTATTTGTCTCTCATCTCACGGGCGCTTATTGGTGCTGTGCGCACATCTTTGTCACTCGGGCAGATGCGCGACTTGATCGCCCAGCTGCAGTTGTAATGGGCTCCAGGAGGAGGAGGGACCTTCTCACGCAATGAGTGACTGGGAGGGGAAGGGGCGGGGCCATCCAGTGATGGGTTCAGCAGACAGGTAACCACACCAGCGGGAGGAAAGAGCTTCGTTTATCTGGGAACCTGAAATGACTCTTGATTTAAATCATATGGTAAAAAGCACCCAAAGAAGAAGGAAAAAAAAACATCAGCACACAAAAAAAAACCTTGCCTATTTTTGGAAACAGAAACACAGAGGGGGGGGGAGGGAGGAAGAAATGAAAGAGTGACAAAGAGAGATGAGAGTGAGTGATGACAGAGAGAAAGAGGAGATGAGGGAGAGAGAGAGAGGGAGAGAGAGGGGGAGAGAGGGAGAGGGGGAGAGAGAGAGACCGAGAGGGGGGAGAAAGAGAAAGAGGGGAGGGAGAGAGAGGGAGGGAGAGAGAGGGAGGGAGAGGGGGTGTTTCCTAGAGAAAAGAAAATACCTGGGTAGGCATGGCCGGGGGGGGGGATTTCATGTGACTGGGTGGGACTGAGTCATGTTGAGTTGGCCCAGCTAGGTTTTTTTAGCTCCCCGGTATTTTGTTTTCTGTGGGAAACGGGTCCAAATGGCTCTTTGAGTATTTAAGGTTGCAGACCCCTGGGCTGGTGTAACCAAGCAACCCCTTTCTCATCCCCTTTTCGTCCTTCTGATTTTGTAGTTAGGAGCTCCACCCCACTATGACTATTTCATCCTGACTATCTTGGCAAATATTTTGTATATTCTACAAAATACTACCAAAAGGAAAAGCATGGAGCTGGGAAACTACAGATCAATCACCCTGACAACAAAACCTGTGAAGGGCCACCATTCTGGGGGGTTCGTTTGAGCCTGGAACTGTCTTGAAGGGACAGTGAGGAATGAGAGCACGGGCAGAGGTGAAGGGGGGCGCCACAAACCTCCCACGAACATCTGCAATAACTTTGAACATCTGCAATAGCTTTCGACCCAGATGGGAAAAAAGATAGCCATTGTGAGTTGTCAAAAGTTGAGGCGGCTTCACAAAAAGAGAGAAAGGGGCTTGAAATGTCTAGGTGAGATCTTGTTAATACCCCCGGGGCACACTGCATTCAAAAGTTTATTTGTTTGTTTTTCTCCCTGAATGACTGACTGAGAACAAAGAGAGAAGGCAAAAGGCGGGGGAGTAGATTACCCCTCCAGGAAGTAGCGGCAGAGAAGCAAACACCAATAGCAATAGCAATAGCAATAGCAGTAGACTTATATACCGCTT